TCAGAACACCGCAATGGGCGGGGAGCCACAGTTCTCCAGCAGCAGCTTGTACGCCCTCCACCCCTTCCCTGAATGTGCCAGTATCACTAATCTTCCCTCAGGCTGCTGCTCACCTGCTGGGCTGTGGCTGTGGCTGTGGTCTGGGCCTCAGAGAAGGCAGATGGGGGAAAGCAGGGCCAGGGTAGTGGTGGCATAAGCATCTGCACCCCTTAGCCAGGCTGCATTGGACACCAGGGCCTGTCCACACTGTAAGTAGAAGGTCTTGGACTGAAGAGGAGTTGCAGACCCACCTGACTGTGAAATCCAGCCCAGGTGCCCTTGACTGCTGCTCAGCTGGCATTCCTGGGTGCTAATAACTGCCACCACCATTCATTCATTCATGGATATTTATTGAGCACCTTCCATGGCTCTGCCTTCTTGGAGCTGTATAATTCGTGGGCTAGATGAATAAATAAACATATAACAGCCAATTGTAATGGGAACTCTAAGAGAAAAGAAGAGGGTACTGTTTTGGTTACCTAGTGCCGCTCTAACAGAAAGTACCACAAGTGGATGGCTTGAACAAACAGGAGTTTATTCTTTTACAGTTTAGGAGGCTAGAAGTCCGAGTTCAAAGTGCCAGCTCTAGGGGTTGCGTGAAAGCCCCTCAATGTTGGGTTTCAGCTCTGCCTCTTGCTCCCAGGCCACTGGAACTAGAAGTGTCCTTTAACTCAGGCAGTTGCTGGCTTCTGAGGCTGACAAACTCAAGGTCAACAATTAAAATGGCACAGTCTCAAGATTATCAAGCAACATGGCAGACTACTAGTTCAAGTCCAGAAACAGTCTCAAGATCAGCAGATAACATGGCAGGCCACTGAGGTGAAGACTCAGTCAAATGCAGGTTCCAGGTGTGCCAAAAAGCTAGAGACCTTCCTCAAAGCTTCTTATATACTGGAAGCAGACCACATCCCTAAGGCAGCTACTCATCTGCGCACAGTGGATTCCACCATGGAGTTGACTACCAGTCTCATCATGGGAAATAACCACATCCAGCTACTCAACCACTCAAAACCAGGCCCAGCCAAGTTGATACATAACATTAACTACTACAGGTGTCTTGAAGGAAAGAAATAATTTTGAACTGGGTAGTAAGGGAAGGCACCTCTGATGAGGTGACATTTTGCTAAGATCTGGAGGAAGAGAAATTATTGGCTGTTCCACAGAAGAGCATCCCATGTGGAGGGAACATCAAGGGCAACGGCTCTGGAATGGGAGCAAGGAACAAATGGGAGACCCGTGTGGCTGGAGCACAGGAGTGAGAGCAGAAGTGTGGAGGTGAAAATGACAAGGTGGGTAGGTGGGGCCTGACAGGGCCCCATACTTCCTTGTCCCCCCCCTTTTTTTTCACTTTTTATTTTTAGTTGTGGTAAATATATGTGTAACCAGGAGCTCTGGCAGCATAGTGGCTAAGGCACTTGACTGCTAACCAGAAGGCTGATGGTTCAAACCCACCAGCCACTCCTCGGAAGGAAGATGG